TTCTCCCATTCTTTCAATTTATTCTATAATATTTCTGAACTTAGCACTATACTTTTGTATAGTACTAGTTTAATAAAGTTAACAAAACTAATAACAAAGATATTATTAATAATTGAGTAGTTGAAATACTTTACAAACTTTAATAAGAAAAGATTTCTAATATTCAAAAGCAGAATTTTTTCTAGTAACACATATTTTATTTAAATATCAATGAAGAATGGTATTTTCAAAACCAGTTCTAGCATATAGGATATAAGTTTATTTATCTGTAATTTCTTGTACATGTAATACTTCAGTTACTTATATTATCTAAACATTAATATTCTCATAAGATTCTTTTTTATATATTAAAATCTTGAAAGAAATTTTTAATATAGAAGAATTATAATTTGATTAACTATTACTATCAGTGTTATAGTTATTATTAAGAGCAGTGATAAGCTATTGCTATTATTGAATGAGACTAGTAAGATTAGTAAGAAGTTATTAGAATTATTTACTTGAGAGATTAGGATTAGACATTATAAATATATGTGTATATATATACAAGTATATATGTGCTAAGTATAAATAAGAAAGTGTATAAAAAGAAAGAAGTTATTAGTAAGTATATATATATATGTATATATAGTATTAATCTTTTTTACTCCTATCAAAGTTATAATCTTTCTAGTTATATTATGTAATATATTAAAAAAATTCACATAGAAGATTCAAGATATATATAGTAATATTAATTGAAATAGAATTCATATAAAAAACTAATTCAAGACAAACAAGATTATTATATTTAAACTTATTCTTTATTATATTATTATTATTGTTATTAAAAATATAAAACAGAAATAGTATCTTTAAATAATAATTTAATGTTATATAAAATTAATAATAAAATAAATATAATTAATAATAGATAATACTTATATAGTAATACCTCTAGAAGATGCTTATTAATAAATAAATAAAGAAATAAATAATTATAAATGAAATATATAAATATAATAATATGCTAACTAAATTAATAGAACAAGAAAAATGAGAAATTTTACTAAGAAAACTATTTATAGCTAAAATAGCTCAAGTATATTATATAACTTTATAAGATTATTTTTGTAACACAGTATTATGTATGACATAGTATATGATGTAGTAATAATCTGTAAGAGAAAATTAAATTTATTATAATAACTTTCTTTTTATTTTGTTTTTGTCTTATATTAATATAATACTTGTAAGTATTAATACTAGAAAATCTTTAAAATGATCATAATTCTCTTTATTTTATAAATAATTTAGTCTTAGTTCTCAAAATTTATTATAAACTATATTTCTGATAAAATTTATCTTTACAAATATAATTTGTAATACTATACTCTTTATTTTTTAATAAAGCTATGTAAAATTTTAATAATTTTTTATATTTAGATTAACTTGATAAAATATTTTAATTAATAAAATATAAATCAGTATAAAAAATTTATATATTAGATACAGTAAATATTAATAAATTATTGTTTCAAAATAAAATTTTAATTCTGTCTTATTTAATTAAGTTATTAGATATTAAAATTTATTTAAATGTAAAAATTTTATTATATATCTTTTATAAAAAAATTTTTATTAATAATAACTTTTTTAATTATTATTTCTTAAATTTTACTATATAAAATTTGATTAAATTAATATAAAAATTATGGAATAGTGCAAAAAGATTTATATCTCAATATAAAAATTAATAATCACTTCTAATAAAATTATTCAAATTTTAATCAATCTTTATAATTTTTTTATATTAAATAAAAAATAATCTAAATTAACTTTTAATACTATTTTAATTATTCTATTATACTTTAATTTAATAATAAATAAAGCATTACTTTACTAAAAAAAACTAAAATAAAATTATTTTTTAATAAAAAAAAGATATTTTAAATATGATTAGTAATTAATTTGCAATATTAGAACTTTAAATTATGTAAGCAGATTGCTCTAGATTTGATAAATATATATTTTAAGTTTCATAAAAATTAAATTAGTAGTTATAAAGATATTAAGATTTAAAATTAAGTAATTAAATTATTTACTATATAATTTTATATTAATTTTAATCAAATTTTATATAGTAAAATCTAAGAAATAATAATTAAAAAAGTTATTATTAGTAAAAATTTTTTTATAAAAGATTATATGATAAAATTTTTACATTTAAACAAATTCCAATATCTAATAACTTAATTAAATAAAACAGAATTAAAATTTTATTTTGAAAAAATATTCTATTAATATTTATTTAAGATATAAATCTTTTTACATCAACTCATATATAGTAAATAATTTAATTACTCAACTTTGAATCTTAATATCTTTATATTGCTAATTCAGTTTTTATGAAATTTAAAATATATATTTATTAAACATAGAGCAATCTGCTTGTGTAATTTAAAGTTTTAATATTGCAAATTGATAGTAATAGTATTTAAAATGTCTTTTTTAAAAAAAAATAATTTTATTTTAGTTTTTTAGTAAATTAATACTTTATTTATTATTGAATTAAAGTATAATAGAATAGTTAAAATAGTATAAAAAGTTAATTTGGATCAATTTTTATTTAATATAAAAAAATTATAAAGATTGATCAAAATTTGAATGATTTTTATTAGAAGCAATTATTAATTTTTATATTGAGATGCAAATCTTTTTGCACTGACCCATATAAAGAAAAGCATTAAAGAAATATTAGTATATAAAAAATTTTAAAATATTAAATAATCTATTAAATAAGTGAAAATAAAATACAATATGAAGGCAAAATAAAAACAATATTTATTTAAATAATAGATTATTTAAATGTTAAGTTAAAGAAAATTACTATTTGTTTAAACAATATATAAATGAAAATGAAATTTAGATAAAATGCTTTTGTTATAATTGACATAATTTATTTTTTGAGACTATAATGTAGAAAATATTATTGCATTTTAGCAAGAATTTTTGACATATTAATATGAATAATCTATAAGGTTACCTATAAATTTCTAGCTGAAAATTTTTCATGTAAGATTTACGTATGTGTATCTTAAAATTATGTGCACAGATCAATTGTCTAATTCTCATGATTAATAATGATAGCGATAGGTGACAATAACGATAATACTGGTAAATTAAAACATACTGATGCTAATTGCCCAAAACAAATACATAAACTGAACTAAAACAAGATCAAATTTATTAAAATTTTTTTATAAAATATGCATTGCAACTATAAATTAAGTGATATATTTTGTTTGTTATTTATTTATTTAAATTTTTTCAACCATAAATTTCCGCTTTACTTTATTAGGATATTTTTTCACCTTCCTTAAATTTCCGCTCAGGATGGATTCACGAATTCGATATCAATATGCAATAATTTCTTTCATTCTAAATTTAGTATTATCGAGTCCATTTGATATATTTTTTTCTAACGTCGTTTAACATAGTTAAAGTTTCATTATCTGGAACACAAATATCAACGAAAGATCTGATTACAGCAATCTTTCTGATCTATAAAGACGCAAAATGTTTGTAAACTTTTTTGTATAGACTCATCGCTTCTTCCACATCATTGGGCAAAAGAGAATGAAGTAATGATTTCATTACGAGATGGAATTCCTGTTAAAGTTTCCCCGCTCCCGTAGCGCATGAGACTAGCTTCTCTTTCTTCAAATGCTTCGGAGGTGTTCATGTTGTGAAATGCCAAAATGCATTGTAAGATAGATATAAACTTGATAAATTTTTAATTTTTTTGTAAAATGGCTGATGGAATCACAAAATTTAATCACAAATCTGTCAAATAACTTGTTATTGATAGAAAAGAGCTAAAGATAATTCTTTATTAAAAAATGTCATTCAACAAATTTAGTGCCTTAAGTATAATATAAATGAAGCTAAATACATATATTTATAAAAAAAAGCAGAAGTAGATAGAATGCATAAAAAAAGCGAAATAGATAAAGCTGAATGTGTAATTACTGTAATAAAACACAGAAGGCTTCCTATTCCTAATACCCTCTCTTCTCCCATACCTGCTCATTTAATGCAGCCTGAATTATATTTTTTACCTGCCTTATATATGCACGAAAAAATGACACTAAAATCATTGTTATCTGAATTTAAACTTTCCCATTTGCATAATGTAAGAGGTATCAATTCCTACCATGATAAACGATGTGTTTTTGAATTGATAATTTTTTTGACATTAGGATTCCTATTTTTTGTCACTTTCCTAACATTGGCCTCCAAATGACGAGACAAATATATTCTATTCATCATTTCAACAATGAGCCCACTTATTTTATGTGACACAAATTCAAACTCGTAAACATGTTTCTTGATGGGAATCAATAAATATTCGTTACGTAGTCTGGGCTTTCGAATTTTACCCTGAAAATAAATATAAAAGATATTCTGTAAATGAACTTGAAGAATGACAAATATTAGTTCAAAAAAATTTCAGATCTCTATAGTAGATGAAATGAATATGAGATAATATACATTTGAAACATATATATATAATTAAAAAATATAGTAGAATCTTAAACTTTTTCTATGGAATATATGTATTTAAAATTTAGTATATTACTAATGAAATAATAATTCTTATTAAACGTTTTATTTTTTGTACGAAACATTTTAGATAGGAAAAAAACTAATTCATTAATATTTTGTTCTATATCAAACTTACTTAGTTTTTGCATTATTGAAATTATTTTGGATTCCGATAGTACAGGAAACGATTTTTATTAAAAAAAGAAAAAATTAATTACATATATTTCTAATGTTATTACAAAAATGCTTTCACCGCATGAAATTGACTGTTTGGGATATAAAAATATTTTGAAGAGTTAGATTAAAACTCGCAGCATATATTTTCTTTGACAGTATTAAATCTTATCTTTTAGAAAGCTAAATTTATGAATCAGAAAATGATAGAATACATGCATATAGAGACGTGGTAATAATTAACGTAGTTTTTTAAAAATAATTCGTAAAAGTTTTGAAAAGTAGGTCGATTTTCCATTTGAAGTAGCGATTCTATGTGTTTTTATAGCAGCGTGCATATCTTTATTGGTACCTCGGCCTCTATAATAATAAATAGCCAATAAATTTTGAGCGGATGATTGATATTTTGAGTTGATGTTCGCAGCTTTCTTCCACGCGCGAAAAGACTTTTCATAATTTCTGGTGATTCCCTCAGACTCATGATACATTTTACCCAAGATCAAATATGCTCTAGGATTTCCAAGCGATGCTGAATTTTTAAGCCAATGCAAAGCTGGTTCATAGTTTTTTTGAGCTCTATAATAATTCGCCAGTCTTAGTTGCAAGTATGAATTTTGCGATCCTCTATCTATGGCGAATTTGGTCCAGTTGAATGACTCGTTCTCATCTTTTTTTGTACCAATTCCTTTGTGAAAACAATAGGCTATGAACCCGTAGGATATTTCATCTCCTAATAACGCACCTCTCATAAAAAACTGTAAGGCAAGTTTTTGATTTGGTTTGGTGCCGATTCCTTATGATATAAAAAATAAGTTTCCTATGAAAATTGTCAAACAAACAACTTGATAATAAAGATTCATATACGTTACCGTTGGCTTCACAGAATCCACGTAATGATGAAAATTGTCTATTCTCAACCGCATTTACCACGGAATCATATAAATACTCGGAATTTTGTTGCGTTTTATCAAGATATTCCAAGATGGTTAGTTTTATTCCTTCAATGTCAGTCTTTTGATTTGCTTTTATAAATATTTGGTTGATGCTTTCTGCCAGTTTTGTTTTATCATTCATTGTAGAAGTGGGAGCGTTGTTTTTTAAGTGAATTTAAGCAAAAACGTAAATACGTAATTATCAATCAAAATTTGTTGCGTGTTCACTGCGGTAGTACACTTGTGAGCGTTTATTTGATACGTTTAATTTTAATTTCGCATATATACGTGTACACATAACAATGAACAAATCTCAGAGAATAGTGAAAAGAAATAATATCAATAATTTTATTTATTCTGTTGATATTTCCAAGACTTTGCATGGTGTCTTTATGGAATCCAAAACCCCGCAGTTTTATTAGAACTAATTATCCGCAAATAGAAGAGTAAGGAATTTAATAGACTGAAAATTCGGTGGGACAAAAACATTCAGAAACATTCAGAATCGGCATCTTAATACATGTACATGTATTTTGATATCTGTTTTTTGGATCCATTTGGCGTATCGGTAAAAGAGATCGGCGTCAAAAATCCCATTCCTGGTTTCTGAATGAACAAAAAAGACTGTTAACCGTACAACGTTAGCATTTATTGTCGTTAATAACTTTGCTATTACATGTATTATAATTCCGATAACGATAAATAAATAGGTGTGTGTGTGTTCAAAGGTAATTATTATTATCGTTATAAAAATGGCAACACAATGCCGGTTGTTGACGTCGGTTATAAAAATGTAAGTTTCCCGTTTCCATATTATTATTGTTTTAGGCTACCCGGTGTTAATTTATTATTATTTTTACCCCCTTAATAACCAAATTACACCACCATATCCCGGGGATAATTTACATGGTAAACAATCTCGATGATTAGAAGCACTGTCGGTTTTGTTTTGTAAAAATGCAAAAATGATTGGAACCGATACGCGAAGGTAATAATAAATTATTGGCTACAATTTTTTCGTTTGGATTAACAGGAAGAAAATGGATGAAAACAAGAAAAAACTGGCAAAAAAAATCTTTTTATCGTTTTTCTTACCTCACAGATAGAAAGGGGGTTATCATAATGGTATTTACATATGTATGGACCCCTACTTTTCCTAACTGCAATGAAGCCATTGTTAAATATATTAGGAACCATTAGGAAAATTGGAAAATATCATTATATCTACCCCCTTGCTACCTGTGCATCATACTTATCTTTATTGGACCTAGCTTTCTAAAATCTCTTAGAACCAAAGCAAGCTTTAGCATCATCATACTGACATCGTTCATTATTTTTATTCATGCATGAACAGTTCTTGACGTCTTTCGCAGTTCCTTTTTGACCTTCATACATTTGGCTAAAATGCGAATTTCCAAGTGATGCGGAACGCTTGTTCCTTTTCGGTGCTCATAATACTCGACCGATTTTAAATGGGCAGTTTTTCAGCCGTCTTTTTATTCGTATGAATGACGCACATAGATTTTTCTGATCCATCGTATTTGCTATGTTGTTCAAAAACTTAGGTTATCGTATTTGACGACTCTACGGAATGTTCCCCGCCAGCAGAGTTTGATGAGGTTAAAATAAAAACTCAGGTTTATACTATGAAGGTAAAGGTATCATAATATTTTCGGATCTATTCTATTCTTTGCTCTTTTAAAGATATTTGTGAATTAGTTTTTGCATAATTGTAATGCATATGAAAAATGCGTTAATACATTCGTGCACGCGCGCTAATAATTTAACATGCGAAAATTTCAAATCCTAATTTATTGGTCATCATTTGATCGAACCATACGATGATAATGATAATGACTCAAACCTGTATTTTGTTGTTCTTGTTTGTTTAAAATAACTTTATTTACTTGTGTATCCGAGAGTATTTATCGTTAACATCATAATGCACTATCTGGGAATCGGAGAAAGGAATACTAACGCTTAACAAAAAAAAAAAAAAACTATGTACATTGGGAAAAATTATACTTGAAAAGAAAAATAAAAAAATTATGCTACAAAAATTACAAAATTCTAATGTATCTCATTCACTTGGTTCTTTCTCTTAATTTAGATATCGACTTTTTGTCCTTTGGAAAACTCGTCGACTTCTTCCTATCTATGTCATGTTTCGTGCCGCCAGTTGGCATTTGCGCCGACTTCCTACTCAAAAAGATCAAAAGCGCACTAGCGATTGCCCGCGTTCTACACACCAATCCAGGAAACTGTTCACGGATCTGATCGTAAATATCCTCACCATACATCCCAAAAATTTCCATCGCTTTTGGTGTCGTCAAAACATGAAAGCTACCACTCTGATTTATATATCGAACCATTAGGTATCTATTCGTTTCCGATATTGTGACCTTAACACTGACATTATTTTTTGATGATATATTCATACGAGAATTTTTGGAAAATATTTGACGACATATTTTCTCCATCCCTTTAAGACATGATTGATAATCTGACTGAATTGCATAGGACGGAACTACTGGTGGCAATAAGAAGTAGTCGAGTTCTTTGTCCAAATCTCGTCGTCGTACGACGGGTTTTGATTGGGGTCCTGCCCATGTTAATTTTCCCGTTTGATAAAATTCGAGAATATAGTGAAATATGATTCCATCTCGATTTATTGCATATTCGTTGTGGTTTTTGGGCTGTACTAGCGCGGAGTTACGTTTTTGAAACATTGTTCCAAGAAGTGTTTTAGGATATTTCGTTAACGTAGACCTGTACGTTTCATACTATCAGAGAATTGGTTAGGAATTTCTTTACGTCGTCGTGTATCATAGATTGAACTTGTAAATACCTTGACACCATTCACATTCAATATTATCGCCTCCTCTTGCTCTGCTTTCCCTGCAGTATTTGAAGGTGAATTTTCGTTGTCACTCATTATTCTAAAATAATTCTACCACAATTTATATAGGAATGTATGTATGCTAGCTATATATATCCTTTGTCGTTTGTTTATTTTCTATTATTTATTATTTGTTTATTCCACCACACAACGCCAAAAGTTTAAAAAGAAGAAGAGACAAAATCGTCGATTATTTATAGGTTTTTTTTTTTCAAGAGATTTATATGTACTATCGGTTATACATAACGATAATATATACATGTGTGTGTATATATATAATAATATTGCTTAAAATAACGAAAAAATACGCCTCTGTCTCTCTGCGTTATGCGTTATATTATCGTTGCGGATGGTTACAGTCGGACAAAGTACCAAAAGTTAAAAATTAAACATAAAATTCCATTACGATTGTTAATGATGAAATTATTATTATGCTTTGTATCATTTTGCTTCTGATTGGTCTTCTTTCGGGTCTTGTGTGCGTCGTTGTATGTTATTATTGCTTATTAGTAGCATAGCCGTTCGATTGTTGTAGGCACCATATTCGGATTTTATTATAATAATAAGTTCTCCGTTATTGTTTAATTAATTTATTACTTTTTTCTATTTTTGTAAGCCTATCATTTATTTCTTGATGAAGCAATTATAATGACCTTATCGTTATGATGAAAAGTTAGCTGAGAACGAGAATGACATCATTCAATAATCTACATGCACGCCAAAAATATAGCGAATTGGCACGCACAGCGTTAAATGTATTCTTGCATTAACATCTGTCATGCATTTTTACATTAAATTCCCATTCAACGGATGTTTTTTCGTGATTTGATTAAAAGTTTTTATTTATGGCTGCGGGCGGCGTAGTCTGTTATGGATGTTTGTGTCGTTTACGTTCGCTTCACAATGAACTATTTTATCTGCCATCGAGTGTTTTACAACCGCAACAGCGCCAGCGCCATTAAACCGTATATAGTAAGAAGTAAATAACATTCAAAGAATGCCTTCGGTCCGTGCGGTCGTGGATGACATTGGTATCTTTGTTATGATTTTTCATTTTAAGTTTAATGGCGTAGATTCATGAATATCCGGTTTTTTCTGTTGTAAACTTTGTGAAATCAAAGTATTTTTGTAGACGCCTGAATTATGTCTACTCGTTCATTTTTTTTAGACTTTTGATATAATTTATTTGAAAAAAGCATGAACATTTGTGATTTTAGTGAGGATTTTAAAAATTTCTGTTTGTTCCTAGATCTACTTTCACAGCATGCAATATACCCAAAATGAAATTGGACTTATGTAATCCTCTATTTCAACATTGATTGTCGCACATTCTATTCCAAAATAATAACAATGATTGAGTTATGACGACTACGACGACGACTTTCCATAAAGATAAATACATGTATAAAAAAATCAAAAGTTTTTTATTCGTCTTAGTTATAAATTCTGCTGATATTAAAGATTCTTCTTTAATATAACAAGAGAAAAAATCATGCTGCTAAATCCTAAATTGATGACAAAAAGCTTGAACGATATCGTTTGCATTTTGAATATGGAATTTTAATTTGTTAGCTTGTTGCCCAGTTTTTTTTATCGCTATTAATTTTTACATGATATCTGTGATCTTTTTTGGGTTAATTTAAGGTTAATTACATGTAATAACAAAAACATTCTTTAGAAAACATACGATGGATTAGAAGATTTAGCATATACATGCACGTATTTATTATCGTTCTATTTGGAATGCAGTGAAGTGGTCGGGATTACGTATCGGTATTATTGTTAGTAAAAAATTTTTGTTTATATAGCAAGTTCTTGATCTAATTTAACATCTTCAAATCATTTCTCAGAATACAGTATTACAGTTTATTAAACGAAATTAATTGCATTGAACCTTAACGTTAAAATAGATTTTATGCAAATCTCTTCTTAGAACATGGATTTAATAAAATTACATTTACTCTGCATTTGTAATAAAAAACTTTATTTCTTACAAATGTTATGTGTATAGTATCGATATTTTAGGAAGACAAATCATGTAAATCTAAATTTCTTCGTGTACAAAAATTTATAACCTGTTTGGTGGACGTTAATGCTGTGTTAAGATATTTACGTATGTGGGTTATTCATGATCCTGTTACATGTATGTTAGTTTTGAGTATCATGAAGATTCGGCAAAAAAGTTTGTTTCTGCAGTTTCACCTTACAACTGAACCTCATTTCATGTGATACATTTTGTGAGCTCAGAAAATGCATCCTTCTTTTAAAATTTTCTGACTATAAGCATATAATCTATCGATTTCGAGAGAAACCAGTTTCACCCAATTTGATTTACAAATTAGGGCTTCGAACTCATAGACTGAAAAGTAATAGAACAAAATGTTACGGATTTGAAAAAATAGTTTCTCCCGAAGCATTCGCGCGCTCTAATAAAGTAGGTAAATGATAAAAGTTCTTCCTATAAAAGAAACTTCATCGAACATTATTCAATATGAATTTTATCAAATTGTGAACGATCTATGGTCGGTCGGCTTTGAGGAACAAATGAATTTAATTTTAATGCTGAATTTTTGAAACACGTTTTTTAATGCTGCAAGATCATAACGCATCTGCAATCTAATAGAATTTACGTTTGAGTACGTTATTACATATACATGTACATGTATGTTGGATCATCAACTCGCACTTGACAACATAAAATGAAGTGCAGGGTGGCGATCAAGGTAATAGTGATCATGCACTAGGGCCTATTATATAAGGAAATGAGATAATATCGATTTTTCCTCGAATTAAATTATTATATTCTTGTTTTAAACAGTTTTCTCATCTAACGTCCGAGATGTGAATTCTTCTTCCAAGATTTTATCTCCATTGTAAACATGAAGCGCTTTATAGAGAAACAGTCTTAAATTAAGTAAAAACTACATGTAAAACAATTTGCAATAATGGGTTATGACACAAAGGAAAGCAATTCAAGCAACGAATATGTGTGTCTATTTTTTCTTATAACGTAAACTGGCATATTATATGTAAGGCTTTTTTGCTCTCATTCGATTTGTCAAAAAATTACAATTCAAAATATTTTTGATTGAATCATGCATACACCAAATACCGGCATACTTTATTATTGTTCACTTTGGTTTTCGATTTTTATATCCAACTGGAATAACGAAAAGGTATCCAAACTAGACTTTTTTTCATGCTCTTTGATATGGTATAATAATGAGCTTTGCCTCGCATTGTGATGTTTTATTTATTGTTGTCATTATAATTTGATCAATCATCAGAAACATATTGTTCTCTGGCGAATTTCAGTTTCAGAATCTTTCTTTTTGTGTATAATATAATACATTAGTTTATGCAAATAGAGCCCGAAAGAATGTAATAAAAGAATACCTGCATTGTATTCATATTGAGAAAGATTTTTTTATTTACCTTTAAAATTTTCACAGGATTGTGCATTTTAGTTGATTTAGGGAGCATTTATCGTTTATATACTCCTACATATTCTGTCGGAACAATACGTGAAATTTGATCATTCTTGTCTTGATCTTTTGTTATTAAAATGACAAAAGGTTTTTGTTGTTGATTACTTTTTTTGGCAGAAAAAATTAAATAAATGGTTATAATAATAATAATAACGATATTGCCCTTAACAAACAATTAAGATGGAATAAATATTGTAGATGATTCATAGAGTTATTATTTTGATGATCTATTACACATATTGATATTATAGGTTGCAAAAGAAATTTAGTATATGACAATGGGTGTTAGATACAATTGAACAATTTTGGATAATAAGTAAGTGTTTATAGCAAAAATATAACCTTACAACAAATATTTATAGCAAAAATATAATCTTACAACAAATATTTATATCGTAATAGAATTTTGACCAAAGATAGAACATCGCATTAGTACAATGAATTTTTCATTACGTCTTAATTTATAACGATAACTATTGTAAAAAGTATACGATTTTCCGATACGTAAAAATAAATTTCATGTTCCCTACGCTTTTTGATCAACATTGTCAGACGATCTTTAATAAAGTACATTATAACATCAATGAAAGCACGTGTTGTATGATCATGGATTTTGTGGGAAAGTTGTATGATGTGGATATCGATATGCACTTTTTGTATTACATGTAGACTAATACACGCAGCTTGGATCTGATCCAATTCCTATCCGAACGCCACAATAATGATAATAGAAAGTTCCATATATAGATTATTAACTGTTCGTTGTATATTTTTTAATTTTTTAAAACATCAATTTTTCATACATGTAATGTATGAGGGCTGACAAATATTGGGGGTGGTCACGTTAATCTCAGGTTTATATAGTTAGCTATTATAAACGTACTTTATCTCATATGTGGTGGGTTAGGGCTATAATAAAACAAAATTGAAACTTGAACCAGATTTCGACTTGTAATCCTCTTGCAATTTTTATTTTACTTAGGCAATATACCATTCAACACTACGTTATACAATTCACTTATGATTTTGTGTTTTTTTCAGTCAGCGGTTCGTTTAATGTTTGTGAAAGACTTGTGTGTTTGAAAAACTATATAACTTTATTGACCCTGGCATTTATAATATTTTTATCAGCTTTTTTAATGAATTTTTAGCCATTTCCACAGTATTCTACCATTTCCTGCAAATTTTTGATCCATCACTGTTCTATGAATAACTTTTTTAAAAATTAAAAGCTAAGCAGCTATTCATTTTATCAACCACAATTATTTTGTGCGATTAGAAAAGATAATTGTGACAGCTGATGCTGAATTCTAGTCAAACCTGAATATAACAAGCGTTTAAGTTGTATATAAAGTTGCATAATTATTTATCACATGAATTTCAATTTCAACCACCACAATAATTGATAATAACTACTCACCATTTATTACTTACTGCCAAGAGTGAGAAGGTACAATTAATTTAACTCTGAACTCATAAATATCTATGGGCCAGTGCAAAAAGATTTGTACCTCAATATAAAAATTAATAATTATTTCTAATAAAAAT